AAGCTATCTAATTCTGTAATATTTGCTTTTTGAAAGATCAATGGACAGGGTAACCAGTCCCAAACTCACGATCTTCCTGTATAAATTGTAAAAGATCAATGGACAGGGTAACCAGTCCCAAACTCACGATCTTCCTGTATAAATTGTAAAAAGATCAATGGACAGGGTAACCAGCCCCAAACTCACGATCTTCCTGTATAAATTGTAAAAAAATCAATGGACAGGGTAACCAGCCCCAAACTCACGATCTTCCTGTATAAATGGTAACAAGATCAATGGACAGGGTAACCAGCCCCAAACTCACGATCTTCCTGTATAAATGGTAACAAGATCAATGGACAGGGTAACCAGCCCCAAACTTAAGATCTTCCTGTATTAATGGTAAAAAGATCAATGGACAGGGTAACTAGCCCCAAACTCATGATCTTCCTGTATGAATGGTAAAAAGATCAATGGACAGGGTAACCAGCCTCAAACTCACGATCTTCCTTTATGAATGGTAAAAAGATCAATGGACAGGGTAACTAGCCCCAAACTCACGATCTTCTTGAGAAATAAGTAGACCTTTATACCTTATATCTACTCTTATGGTGATACTAAACTTGTGATTGTTTACACAAGTCCTTTACACATGAAAGTGCTAGTTTGTTTCAAATCTTGTAAGGGTTATGAATAATCTTTCACTCATTCCTTGGAGTCTGATACTTTAAAGTTCCTTTCTATCTTTCATTACTTTGATTGTTTGTATTAAACCAAGTAAATATGTTCAGCTGCTGACCAAATAGACGACGCAATACCTTCCCAGAACTGTAATGTTCTAACGTTCTATTCTACCCACAGAGATGACAGTATAGACGCTGGAACATCAAATCCTGACGAGGACGTCAGGGTGTCAGGAGAGGCCGTGTTAGCGGACTAACGCCATTTTGTAGCAGAAACCTATATAAAGCGTGGCAACACCGGCGTTGACTCACTTTTTTTTCGAGACTTCGTGCGGAACGGACTTGTTACTAACCTAACCTCAGTAGATTTTAAAAGTCTGAAGTACCTACACGTTCTAATCTTTTGTGTTTCCTAATAGTATATTAAATTAAAGTTTGTACAACTGTACAGTGACCATGAATGTCTGTGGAACGCCACCCTTCCAAGTTATAAAATCTAAACGTGATTCAGCACTACTACAGCAGAATATCAAACAAATCAGGCGTAATACTCCTATACTCGTCTAAATCTTCATTACGAATTCATCCAATAGTAAAGCAGGTGATCCACATTCATCTCTTCTTAAAAACCACGGTCTTGTCCACACCCGTTTTTGTAACTCTTCTTCTAGTTCGTCTAGTGCGAATTGGCACAGTTTTCGAAGTACCTCATTTAGTTGAATATTGTTTTGAATGTAGCTCATTTTGGTTTGTGGTCACCTCAGTCCCTGCGATAGTACTACCTTAAAATAATCCTATCCTCATGTAAACAGAACTAGCATGTTCCTAGCCAGGACAGTACTAGCTTGCTGTCCTAGCTTGAATAACTAGCCTCGTGTATCCCGGGCATAAATGATTTTAACGCAAAGTTACAGTCTCGAAGTTATCACATGTCTTAAATGACTTGACGAAATGGCCATTAGTGGAAGCCTAGATAATGTAATAAAATAGCGATTTAAGCTTGAAAAAGCGTTTTCTTTAAAATATTTTTGCATTTCCTCAGAAGCGATTTTGGGACAACTACATCATTCTATAACCGGTGAAATAAGCATATTGATACACATGAATTCAATTAATAGCTTATTAATTTACTTCTGAAGTCCATAGTTGGATTACGTGGAAATAAATCTGGTTTGAACTACACAACACAAATCGAAATTTTGTCTTCACATTTTTTTAAATTCACAGCTTTTCTATGCAAATAATGATTTTAAAGGTTACAACTGAAATAAGCTCATACATTATTTAGTTATTAAGCAATTAAGTTATATATATCTAATGCAGTAAAACAACTATTGAATTGAAGCCTATTCCAATAATTCCAACTAATCACGTAATTCCTGCTTAGCCTACAATCCTATATGAAACCTAATCTGTATTGTAATAAAGTTATTTGTACTTCCAATAGTTTTACCCTAAAATTCACAGTTGAGACTAATTTTATTTTATTTGAATAAACTTGCCATTACTGGTCACCCTAACGCGACAAGTATTTACAATTACATATTTTTTTATTTAAATAAATAAAATAAAATAAAATAATGCTAGAGGCCTAGGCACTTTAGCACTGTCGAATTCCCTTCCTTGCCACGTATCAACTTCATAAGGTTTCCTCACGATGTTTTCCTTCACCGTTCGAGCAAATGTTTAATGCGCACTATAAAGAAAGTCCATTGGTGCACAGCCGGGGATCGAACCTACGACCTCACGTATGAGAGTCGCACGCTGAAGCCACTAGGCCAACACTGCTCTTATCTGTGTAAGGTACATCGCAGGCGCAAATTCTCGGCGACCTCTGCAGACCGTAGCCCACAGAACCAAAATATTACTATGACTCCGTATGTACAAATATATTACGTTTTTGACATATGGACTAATTCTGAGACGAGACTGAGAGCTTTGAACTCCCGTATGTAAGTTCCAATAGGATAAATAATGAAATAAAATATTAGTACTTAAAATGGCTGTAACAATGACAGTTTGCGTCACTGAAGCGATTATTCCGAAAGCTATAAATAATTAAGGATAAATTGGGTTTAATCAATAAACGTCTTATATGCGCGTGACTTTTTTTTTTAATTAGCTCAATATACATAACCCTTATTGAATATTTATTTACAAAAGCGTTGGTGGGTGGAATTCGCGAACATACCCGTGTGGACAGAAGCGGAGGCGGAAAGATCTGACCGCTCCAGGAGCATCGATTGGCGTGCTGCCTTTCCCGTACTGAATAATCGACCTTATCTGCTAGATTTAGGGTTGAATTTCGTGAGGGGAGATAGGCTGTTACGGCATTAGGATATTGGAGGGTGTTGGATTCATGCGGGGCCCGGAGACCGCAGTGCCGCGCTGGACGCCGGCCGGGATATAGGTCCGTGCGTTGTTTATACAAAATGTTTGCGTTGACGTGTTTTATAAAGTGTTTTGTATAGTGGAGTGATTGTGTAGGTATTGTGTTTGTGGCTAATATTTCCACTGGTTTTTAGCATGTGTTGGAGGATAATGTAGGCGGTTGATAAGGTACAAATAACAAGGAAATCAATTAATTATCGGAATAATTATTATTCGATTTTAATAAAAACTCGTAAAAAGTTTAGTTGTAATTATCTTATTGATTAACTTGAATATGTAAATTGTGAATATCAAAACGGCCAATTATTGAAGTATACCTATCATGGATCCAAACAGATCTAATTAATTGGTCACTTGACGAAGGATGGGCCGGTTTATGACACTTCGCAGAAGACCAGATGACTGTGTACTTCATTGATAATCATTCTAATTAGCTTTCAAAGTTTAAGGTGTATTAAGTTTAGCCTTTCCCTAAGGTAGTTTATCTATAACAGGAAAAATTTATATGGTGACGATTTATCTTAAAAGCTACTGGACCGTTTCTTCTTTTATTAGAATTATACTATTCCTGAGTAACATGTGATGCTAAATATTTAAAAAATATGTTGTAAAATTGGGACATTAAGCAGAGAATTTTAAAAATATGATTGGTCTATTTTGATGAGTGACTCTTTGAAAGTTAATTAAATATTATATCATTGGTATATTTGACGAAACTTTAAAATTTTGTGCTGAAAATTGTAATGTATTATAAAATGCGTCTGAACACAATAAACTCAAAAAATACCGATATGTATATGAAATCGCCCGCGGGCTTCGGGCAGAAATTACGTAATAAAATTTAAACTATAAATAATTCAATCCTATTATATACTTTTATATATATACTACATATGAAGTGTAAAATATGTAAACATAATTATAAGTTAAAAATGAAAAAGATACGTTACTAAATTTAACAGTGATATTAAGTTTTAGATATTTTGCAAACGCAACGATTTCTAAGAACATAAAGAACCAGACGGGTCTCTATAAAATTAGAGTAAAAAGTGACCTCTGGATTCTAATAGGGGTCAACGACTACATTATATATTTATACTTATTATTATTCAGCTAAAGAGTTTGAAGATCAGGAACAACTGTTTCAAATTCAATTTGTTTTGCGTTTGTCGAAGGCGGATTAAACCAGGGCATTGCTAGTTCATCATAATAAGGAAGCTTGTAGAAGCTGATACAGGACAAATCTTTGTTTTTTTTTATATTATTAATTACTTAAAGATGTCATGTGGAACATGCAAAGTGGCAGCTCCTTACAAACATTTTGTAAAACAAAAAACTTGGCGATTAAGATCGTTCTACGCCCTTCATTTGAGAACTGGCAGTAAATGTAAAATTAGAAGCATTTAATATGTATTTCTTTATTGACGTTCATAAGTGTACCTAAATGAATAAATGATTTTGAATTTGAAAATTTAGTGTTCTGAATTATATTTAGTACCGTCGACTCTATCTCTCAAATTGTATTTACGCTTAGATGGATAAAGACGGTTGCAATAGTAATATGTAAACCTTTTAAGAAGTGTTGTAATATTGCATCTATTATTAATTGGGTTTCTATGGTTTACTTCATATAAAAATATTAACTATAATTAGTTGTAGTAGTAGGTATTTAGTTGTATTGTGTAAATTGTAATAAGCATAACTCGGCGTATCGCTAAATATAGACATTTCGAGATTGTAATAAGGTCATTACAATTCGATTGAATCTAGAGCAAAATGCTTTCAATGTTATCGCGGAATTAAAATGGAATTTATTTATTAGGATATTCGTTTATTAACATTTCATCAATATTATATAAAATATCATAATGATTAGGGAGGCAGCGGCAGGAAGCTCTAGTAAGGAGAAAAAGAAGTCCTCAGGGGAAAGTGGAAGAAGTGCTTAACTTAACAAAATAAAATTTGTATTGAGTAAACAGACATGACCACTACCTCCCCTGCCAAACTCTTTGGCAACCCGGTAGATCTATAGTCGTCATTCTTCCCTCCAGTAGTGTCGTCCGGAAAGAGTGTCTGCGCTAATAGTTTGGCCGACTCTTCTGTAAGGTGGCTGCCGCCATGAATGGCATGTCCTCTTTTTTTCTTTTCCATCCTTTTTATCCTGTAGATACTATCCCACATACCCTGCTTACTATAGAACTCTCTCCAGTTTCTCACTTGGGCGCTTTTCGCCTCCTCGTAGCTTCTATGTACTACACGACCTTCTGCTGTCTCTCTGGTCTGCATATCGGGTTTTTCTCTTTTTCGTCGCTGCCTCCAATGAATTAGTTTATGTCTCTACCTTTATATAGTTTCGATTAGGTAAAAACTAATAATAACCGTTGGTGGCATATTTATAAAACACTGATGTTTTGACTTCACGTTTGATTACGATTTAAATAAAAGTTTATAAAATAAGAGGTCCCGTGTATCAAAATAATATTTAGAAATAACATAGTTATTTGATCTGTAAATTGCCATCAATAACATAACTTATAAGAAACCAAGTTTCGCAAGTTAGTTCTTCTACAATCCGTGTAATACCAATTGATTCAGTCCCTACTAAGGGACCTTCGGTCTTTAGTATACATAATTAGCGAACTTAAAAACATCTTATCATATCAATATTACAAATCTTTAATGTTTTAAATAAATACATTGACTTGGCCATGAAAGCACACATGTATTATATCACAAGTAATACATGTTAAATTTAAATTTAAAAACGAAATTTAATTAGATTGTTTAGTCTTTTGATTTAACAATAAACACTAATTGTATTCAAAATTTAAAACTTCTAAGTCTGCTAGAAGTGCCTTAGAGTTTTTTGAGTTAGTGACAAAATTAAGAAATTTTACTAGTTCAATTCAAAAATCATTTATTCACGTAGGTAACACAATGTACACTTGTGATTCGTCATTAAAGAAATACGTCATATTAATGCTTCTAATTTTACCTTTTCTGCCAGTTCTCAAATCAAGGGCGTAGAACGGAAGAGAAGAACTGGCAATAAACTCTCCGCCACTCTTTTTAATCGCCATGTTTTTTTACACAACGTTTGTAAGGAGCTGCAACCATTACACCATGTTCCACTAGTTATAATTCTTAGTCAACTTGAATGCAATTTAAAATGTACATACAGTGTTGGTAACTGAAAATTCAGGCTTCAGGCTTCTAATTTTATTCCCAACAAAGTTATAGGGTCTTACTACAGTTTAAATTCCTCAAAATAATAGACAATTATGTGTTAAATGTTTCTTTTGGCAGAATTACAGCCAACAGTATACAATGAATATTATGAGCGATTGTTACGATGAATTCAATGTAATGAATGTAATGTAGTTCATACTACTGAACTTAACTACGAGTTATAATTTTTAATATCATTTGAACTGAGTTTTATGGTTCGAAGCGATGGCCGTTGTGAAACATTATATCACAAGTTATTGACTGTTATACTTTAGTTCACCAAAAAAGGAAATAACTCCGATTTTTTTAACGGGCTCACCTAATGTTAAGTGATACCGCTCATACACACTCGCATTGCCAGGGATCGCGTAGCCCTAAGTCGAATTGCTTCGGAAATACTTCAGTGGGTAGCTGGTTTCACATAGTGGTGGTGCGCGCTAAAAACTGCCTTCGTTGTGGAACGACGCGCGACGGACGTCGAGGTGATACGGGGGGAATTTCGTATTCTGCCTCGACGATGATGAAACTAATGAATTAAGACCAAAAAATAGAACAATAACAGTGTGTTCGTCTAATAGATTACTGTAAGTTATTGGACAGTTTCTTATGTTAAATATCCTTATTAGTAAATTAGGTTAGAGTTAAATTACTTATTAATTAGGATATTAATGTTAAATGATATCTTTGTGCAGAGACAACTATATCTACATATATATATATATATATAAATATGTTGCATTGAATCGAAAAAATCCATAAAAAGTGATATAATGAAAGAAAGTAAAAAAAAACAATTTTGGTATTTATTGTAGGTAAAAATTATTCAAACCAAATCCCAGACAAAGATATAAACTTTTGAGAATTAGCTTATCCCCATAAGTGACAAAAAATCTTTTTATACCTACTGCCGACGTTTCTTATACCTAAATAATTGTGAATTGACCAATATTATTGAAGCAATATTCCATGAACCATAATCGTTTATATCAGTTCTGTCTCGTGTACGAAAATTTTTCGGGTCAATAAAACTCGTTTACGACCTGACCGACTAACTTACTAACAAGTGTTAATAACAGGTGCGTCGTTCCAACCTTAATAGGAAGCTCATGGTATTGTGTGGTACTTATATAGTCGTCTAAATTGTGTACATGTGCGTTAAATTGTCCGTTATACCTCCCAAAGTCTAGTCTTCAATTCGTAACGATATCTACAATCGATTACAATGTCTGCGATGACGTCATGTCCTGATACGCGCTAACAAGTTGTTGTGACTAAGGATATTACGAACTTCTGGACCTTAGTCACTGGGGCCAGTCAGTGGTTAGACTGGTCGAAGATCCTCCCTTTACGTTGGAGGAAATGTTTACCATCCTTCTTTAGTTTCCATTGTACCAACAAGTGTTAGAGGAAACCAGCCGGAGAGACCATAGACAAAACCGTCTCGAGCTTTTAAGAAGCACTTCATCACTGTCAGGTCATCAATTATTTAACATAGGCGACAGTAAGTTTTGTAGATAACTAGAAAGATGTTTGATTAGTTGAAACCTCAATAAGGGGCCGATCAAGTATTTTGTAAGCACTATAGGGGTCAGAGGGGATCTATGTGGTATTTTCTTATTTGGTGATTACGTCAACAGTAATTATTTACTTTTTTACACATATTACCCAAACATTGTCTATGCTTATTGTGAATGCATTTTCGAGGATTCCTACAAAAAATTAATACGTTTATGTTCTATTGTTTTTGGGAACTTTGCTGACAAGTGGAAGGGGAGGGGGATAAATTGCAGTAAATCTGCTCACGCTTGAACGGCCCAAAGTCTCGAACTTTCGGCAAAAATGGCGGAATGATTTTGAATATAGAAACGTTTTTATCGTCCAGCTAGTAGGGTTAATTTGGGCAATAGATATACTTTAAAATATTGGGCGTTAGTAGCAGGAGCGCGATTACCCACAAATTACGGGACCTCTCCAAGACTTTGTATAGAATTCTCCATCCATATCGCAACGGGCATGACGTCACGTGTCGCTATGACCACCTAAAATGGCGGACGACAGCCGAATTTCAATTGCGCTATTCGGGACAGCGTTGTCATGCAAATTACGTGGACACACCTAAGTGACCAGCTTGACATCTAATGTTCCATGATTATCAGAAAACCTAAGTCGCGTGGTAATTTGTAATGGTACCAGTAGAGAGTTTTTCTTAAATTTAATTTAAAAAAATTAAGTTATCCGCGTTATTTTATTTATTTACTAGTGGACCCCACAGACGTTGTCCTGCATGATATTTAAAGCGATTAGGATATTAAGCAAAGTATGAAAGTACCGACTGCAGTGCCATCTGCCGGGTTGATTTGTGAATCTAAACCATTCCCAGATCCCCTTGAACACACACAAAAAATTTCATCAAAATCGGTCCAGTCGTTTGAGAGAAGTTCAGTGACATACACACTCACAGAAGAATTATATATATAAAGATTCACCATACCATATATAATGCTATATTTACAGTATATGTTACAAGTTTTTTATTTTTAAAATACATTACAATTATGGTAAACATAAAAGTAAAAATATTACACTTCTAATTTTAGATTTTACTTAACAAAAAACAAAAAATCACTAGCAAAACAGCGGATTAGGCATCAGATAGGCACTTAATGCTTTAAAAAATGATCAGCCCTCCATCGAATATGTCAAGTTCTGGATACGTAGTGTTCATTCTGTTATATTCGGGAAGAATTCAAATGGGAGGGGCTTGAAAGTGTAGCTATATATAAAGCGCAAATTCGGCCCCACATGGAGTACTGCTCTCACCTCTGGGCGGGGGCTTCCCAGTACCAGCTCCTTCCACTTGACCGTATACAACGCAGAGCGGTTCGAATCGTCGACGACCAATCCCTCTCCGAGCGGCTTGATCCTTTGGCGTTGCGTAGAGATGTGGGGTCACTCTGCATCTTCTACCGCATTTACCATGGAGAGTGTTCAGAGGAGTTGTTCGGATTAATACCTGCAGCTGAGTTTCATCATCGGACGTCGAGGCAGAATACGAAATTCCACCCGTATCACCTCGACGTCCGACGTTCCACAACTGAGCGTTTTTCAAGGCAGTTTTTGCCGCGCACCACCACTATGTGGAACCAGCTGCCCACTGAAGTATTCCCGAACCAATTCGACTTAGGGTCCTTCAAGAAAAGAGCGTACCAATTCTTAAAAGGCCGGCAACGCACTCGCGAGCCCTCTGGCATTGAGAGTGTCCATGGGCGGCGGTATCACTTAACATCAGGTGAGCCTCCTGCCCGTTTGCCCCCCGTTTTATAAAATAAAAAAAAAGCTAGACAGGCACTAATCATTTTGATGAGCATAGTATTTCATTACAGTACATTTTATACCATTTAATTAATTGTTTTATACTTGCACCATGTACCACGGCATAATTGTAATCTTGTTACAATTATGCCTAGTGTCAATATTGTCACAACTAACAACTATATTTCTGTAGTGAATAAAGTTTTATTATTTATTATTATTAATTAGCATTATTCTCTGATTTAAGAAAACAAGTAGAACGTTACAATAACATGTGAAATTACATGCAAAAAATTAAGTGAAAATAAAGCTGTCTACACACCGCAGCCGCCGGCCCACCGGCACGAACCCGGCGGGCAAGGCCGGCGGCCTTAGTTTTAACGATGTTGCCGGCGGCTTGCGCCCGCGCGATCTTCCCCGCGGCACGCCCCTCTCCGCTCTTCACCACCGGTTGCCCTCTGGCTTTTAAGAAATAGTGACGCGTCAGTGTTTTTATCGAATAAACATTATGGAATCCGTTAATGAAGTGGAGAGAAAAATAAAAATTTAACAAGTCACTAGCAAGCACTTGGCAATCACTAATTGTGAACACTGCATGCCGCGACTGTATGTCGTGCCGCCGGGAAAATTGTCAGGCTCGCAACTTCCAAAGCCGCCGGGTTCACCCGCCGGCATTAACCCGCCGGGTTCGTGCCGGCGGGCCGGCGGCTGCGGTGTGTAGACAGCTTTAGAAAGCATTTGTCTCGTACGTAAGACCTTACCATCAACCGTACAGTAATAATAGAGTTTTGGATTTTTAACATGTGTACACCACAGGTTTACAGGTCCTATTACTGGCACCAGCCTATCAGAAAGGTAGGCTAGGTAGGTAGGTATCCTATAAATCCCATTTATGGCTGATTTTTATTTACTTACTTATTTGGTTCTATTTCTTGTATTAGTTGCACTGTATGTGGTGTCGCTACTTTAAAATCATTTTCTGTTATCACAGCACTTATATATAAAGTTTATAAAGAAAACCGATCTATGGAATAGACCAATAATTATTCTATACTCTACTATCTATGGTATGAATAGACAAAGATATCTTTTTTGCAGTTCCACCATTCTTGTAATCCTGAACTTCTATTTATAGAATCAGAGCTCTCTGCATTTAGCTTCGTCCTTTAAAGCAAAGGACGATGGCATGACGTTATACGCTAAAAGTGTTTAGAATTCCACTGTTTTTTTCTTATTATTAACATGTGTTGTGTGGCCTTGGCGGTTAAATTAAAATCGTTTAACTAGAGTTATCGAATTTGAAGTTTTTTTAACATTAATTTTAAGAATTCTGAAATTTATAAAAACGGCTGTTGACTAAGCTATATACTTTCTTGACATAGTTGCTAACATAGTGTGGTTTGTGGTAAAGCTCCCGGGATGTCATCCTTAAATGTGTAAGACCAGTGTTTTTTTTTTTCTACCGCCGCCCATGGACTTTCACATTGCCAGAAGGCTCGCAAAGGCTGGCACCTTCCAAGAATTGGTACGCTCTTTCTTGAAAAATTGTAGGAGCTGCAAGACAGTGTGGAGACTACTTGGGCTTAGTGTTTAAAGCGCATGGCGTAATAAAAAATATAGATGTGTCTTGACACACTGAAATGTATCGACTCTGACTTGAGAACTGGCGGTAAATGTAAAATTAAAAGCATTTAATATGTATTTTTTTATTGACGTTCATTAGTGTATATTGTGTTATCTAAATGAATAAATTATTTTGACTTTGAATAGGTGGGCTGAAAAGTTCGTTATGGTTATAGTTCGTTGAAAAAATCTTTTTTTTGATAGAATTGGATTTGATTATTCAATAGAGATACAATTCACATATAACGATTATGGCGGTCATACATTTATTGGTATATATTTTTATAGTACGATTGTCTTTAGTCTCAAAATAGGCTTCAATTTTTACGATTACCTCTTCATCATCGCACAATTTCTGTCCAGTGAGCATTCTCTTAAGGTCTGAGGAAAAAGTCGCTGGGGGGAAATCTGGAGAATACGGTGGGTGCGGATGCAATTCGAATGTTATTGTACTACGGTGCGCGCCATACCACTGCGACTGAACCACTACCACTACCACTAGCCCAGCGGGTTACTGAGAAATTTGTGTTTAAAGTTTAAAATCGGCGCTGAGACACCCTAATATATAAAGTTTCTGAAGTCAATGATACGTTATAATTGTATGAAATAAAGTTCAATAAACTTGAATAAAAATAATAATTTGAAGCGAGAATTCTGAGATCTTCTCGTTGTTGGTAAATTTTGACCGCTCGTAAGTGGTAAACACGGCGCACGCGCGTACAATGTAAATAAACTTTAGTAAACAAATCATTGGAAAGTTAAAGCTACTGGTTGCTTACGGGATTTGATTTAAATGTTTAAGAATGCGAAAATAACCAGTTAGTAGAAGAAAAATTTGTAAACTAATGGACCAGTTTTAATTGTGTATAATTGAATCACCAATCTGTCGTACTTTTATTATTATTACTTGATAAATGCGGTTTTAACTTATTAAAAACTGTATTTATTATAATCTAGAACTAATTAGCGAGCAAAAAGCTAATAATAGATAACTATATTTGTTAAATTTATTTATATATATCTTAATATATATATTTCTTCTGTGCGTGTGTATGTGACTGAACTCCTCTCAAACGACTGGACCGATTTTGATGAAATTTTTTGTGTGTGTTCAAGGGGATCTGGGAATGGTTTAGATTCACAAATCAGCCCGGCAGATGGCACTGCAGTCGGTACTTTCATACTTTGCTTAATATCCTAATCGCTTTAAATATCATGCAGGACAACGTCTGTGGGGTCCACTAGTATATATATAATTATTTTCATGATCTGATCAGTTTTATGTATATTTTATATATTTTTAAGGCCGCCAACGCACTTGCGAGCACTGGCAATGTGTATACACGTGTGTTTCACTTAACAACATCATGTGTTATGAGTATTTAATTAACATTAACATTTTATTTATTTAAAAATAGGTTAGCCAATAGGTATAACAATACGAGTATCTTACATCTAGAAACATCCTTTAATAGGCAAACAGCATGCTTTATACTTAATAACTATTACGAACAGAGTTCTTACTAACTATAAATATTTAATTTAAAAAAAAAAATGATTTTGGAAGGGGATTTTTCTTTTGGTTTGAGTAATTGTATGATTACGTACGTAATATAAGGAAATTATCTATCAAAAATGGTTTTTCGAAAACATGTCCAAGTAATTTAGTTCATAATCTGTTTTTCCTTTAAACGAAAGAGAGATTATTAATGTCGGAAAATGCTGAGGTTCTCATAAAGAGAATTATCGTGGAATTTCCTTTGGGAGTAATTAACGAATCTCAAAGGACAGCTCGTATTGTGGTGATAAATCTTTTAGTAGGAATTTGCACCTGTGGTTTCATTTTGTATAATTTACTAAAAGTTATTACATTTTATTTTACAAACGTCGAGTCTATATATTGACGATAAACTCCCGAACACATTTTTATACAGTTTGCACCAATAAAAAGTGTGATTCCTAAGGATGACGTGTATAATTAATTATTGTTTTATGTACGACTTAGGGTCCTAGAGAAAAGAGCGTACTAATTAAAAGGTCTGCAACGCACTCGCGACTCTTTTGCATTAAGTGTATATTG